ACACCTGAATTGTAAATTTTTCCCTGATTTTAATTGGGTCGGATTTGGATCCTTTTAATTGATTTTAACCTAGCGAGTACTAATAAAACTAGTTTCTAAAAACTATTATAAAGTTTGAGGACATGATTTGTAATAAAAACTCGTTTCATTAAGGGCAAAATAGACTTTTATATAAAAATCCAAATGGGTCATTTGACCCGGCTAAATTGAAAATTCTCCCGACAGGGAGAAGCAAAACCCGAGAGGATAATATGCATTTGGAAGCAAATGCGTAGGGTCCAGGGGTTGTTGGGTTTAATTTGCCATTTTCAAAAAGTTCAAGGACCAAATTATGACATCTAGATGATTCATGGACTATACTGAAAATTTTGGAAAATGATTCAGAGACCAGTTTGAAGATTCCAGAAACATTAGGAAACATTTTGCATATATAGAAAATGCAGGGAGAGCTTACATCAATTAGAAAGTTTAGGAACCTATATGTAACTTTATCAGAAAGTCAGGGACCTATTTGCAGAATGGTGAAACCTTAAGGACCGATTTTGTACGTGCAGAAAACTTTAGGGGAAGACGTGCACATTTCAGAGTTTGGAGGGTACGTGTAGAAATATGATAACAAAGGGGCTTGTTTGCAGATTGGTTTTCGCACTTTAACAGTCCTATTTAGGAAAATTGACGCAATTAGTCCCAAACATTCGTCCATCTTGAGTTTTTGTCCATTCTTGAGTTTTTGCAGGTAGAATTTCTTCAAATAAAAAATAAAGAAGAAAAAATAAAATAAAAATAAAAGGTAATCACGTTCTCTACTAGCCACACCCCACACCGCCAATCACTATAATAAGCATTCAAACATACAATTCTTGAACAAGAAATTAAACAAAATGAATCAGCTATGATTTATTTTTTGTCATTTTAAAAGGGTTTAAATGCAAGAGTAAGATTGAAAATTCAAGAAAATGATTCCTTGATGAAGAAAGAAAAGGAGGGCACAATATGAATGGTACTCGAGCTTTCTTCATTTTCTTGTATTGAATTTTGATGTTGGATCTATCCTAAATAATCTCGAAAGTTCAATGATGTTTGGTTAGCTCTTATGACATTGTTTGTGGTAAATATTCGAGGAGCGATTGGTTGATAATTTTTTCCAAAAGGGGGGAGGATCTTGTTTGTGTAAATTTCCAAATGACATAAGATCAAGGCTTGCATGAACTAGATTCCTCATAAATTTATAAATTAATTATTATTTGGTTTTGTTTGTTATAATTATAGTAAATTTAATCTTATTTTTCATCAATTAGTAGCTAGTAACCAAGAATCTTGATTTCTCTACCTTCATGTATTGCTACTTTTAGATTTCGTGCTTGCAAAGCAGTAGAAAGTCTTGTGACTATAATGACAAAATGACATCCCTCTTTTTTAGGAGTGTGGCTAATGGTTTTGTGGAAGTGAGGATGGAATGGTAACGATGGTTACTGAAAAGTAACGGCAACGTGGAGAATGTGTTCTATAACTCTGTTTCATTAATTATTTGACAAAATTGTCCATTCAAATATAAAAAAAAAGAAAATTATAAAAAAATTGAGTAATTGTATCCCACTCACAAAATTTATCCATAAGGTCAATTATGTTAAGAATGTTAAAGTTTGGGACCATTTACATCAAAATGTAAAGGTTTGAGTACAAATGTAAGATGTTTAAAGGTTCGGATAAAACCGTAAGTAGGACAAAGATTCGGTACCCTTTACTCCAATCCCAGCCTTATTTACTGTGATGGAGGGGGGAAATCGGCTATGGGTTTTCATTTTTTGCTGTTGGACAGACAATTTTCTGTGGGGTATTTAATTTGGCTCCAATTTTCTCGTGCTGCAGTGATTTCGAAAGTATAAGGCATCTCCTTTATCACCAAACTTGGAAGGTAATTTCAGATTTATTTGTGTAAAAATATGCATTAAATCTATTGGATTGATGTCGCAGTCGATTTGATTGTTGTGAATGATTTGATTTTAACACAACCTCCATTATTTGTCATTCTCTTTCGTAGCTCCTTGGAATTTTTTTTCCAAAATTTTTGTTTATTGATGGAAACCTTCCTTATTCAAAGAATAAAAGTAGTTGAAGAAAACAATTATACATTGGTGAATCTGTGTAATTTTAATGCAAGATCTTAGGTTCAACCTTCACATACTTGCATTCTATAATTGCAATCCGATCTCCCCTTTTTACACATTGTATACGATCTGGATACATAAGGAAACACACATTGAGGAATACATATTGTATATTGTCAAGTTGCACAGTGGATGTACACGAGATTTGATCATATGCATAATCTGAATCCTCAAAATCCGTATGAAAAAGCAATTCCCTCGAGAATCTCTCTTTAGTTTTTTTGTGTAGTTGTCTATGAATTTCTCCCTTCCTTTAGAACCAGCCAGCCATCAAGTGTAAGTGGTGAAATACACAGGACTAAATTCCAGTGGGACAGGTGAGTAGCCAAGCCCTTATATTATGGTTAATATTCTTATATTAATTCGATGTGGAATTTAACTACACCCCTGTAGGTAATTTAAGAATTCAGAATTTGGATCCTCAATTGGTTCTGAAATTTGGAAATGTAATGTTGGTGTACAATAGAGCAATAAGAGTATCATTCTTATTTAGCTGTACAATTTTTCCTTAGCACAGTTGATCGATTGGAGAGCACAACCCACCCCCATTTCTCTTTGTAGCTAGTACAACTCTCTACTCCCAAACTGAACTGTTACACGAAAAATCGATCGATATCTTATCTTTAGTTTCAGCGGTGAATTTCATAGCATCCAATGCTAGAACTAAAGTTTGCCTTGTGTTATTTTTGTTATGCCTGCCTTCCCTGCTACACGTTTGATGAAATGCGATGTTTATGTTTGCATATTTGATCTCAAGTTAAGTTTTGAACATGGATTGTTCAAAACCTAGAAGTCATAAATAACCATCTGAACTAGTTATTTTCTTCATTCTGATTTCTTACTAATTATTATGTGGCTACTTTCTTTACGTCACCATATTATATTATTAATTTTGAACTTATTAACGATGATTGGAAATCTCATGTTGGGCAACTTCTATGTTAGAAGTGGTGGTTTCAGACAGCAATTGATATCATTAAAAAAAAAAAGGAAAGACAATCTGCTTGGTTGGACATGGAGTTTTCTTGTTACAATAGATTCATACCATATGTGTGTGTTTTCATAGATAATGCACGATCCATCTATATGTCATCATGAACCAACTCTGATCATCACTCTTAACCTGATTGACTTTCTAATTTGTTACACTATCTAGGTTCTGATTTTTTATTTTTCATATGCAGTCACTAATAGCCAGCCTCCATTGGCTTGTCTATAAGTCATAGGGCCCCCTTAGGCCAGCTTATTTCTCTGGTCATGGAAAGTTGTTAAGCCAGCTCTCTCATCCCCTGCTATCTAGGTTATAAACTGCTCGAGCAGAAGTATATAATGTTTAGATGAATCTTCTGATGTCATCTTCTTAAATAAGATCCTTTAATTGTTAAGTTAAGTATTTTACAAGGGTGATTACTTATGATCAAGGCTGTAAACAAACCATCATTTTGTCTTGTGGCTTTCCATGTATGTTCCTTTAATTGGTCCTCGTAGCAATTTCATCCTCTTTTCTCTTTGTTAAGTAATTTTTTTTCATAAACTTTCAGAATCTGAGGTCTATTTGAAGAAAAGATGCAGACCACTAACTCCTCTGCAGAAGAGATATTTCTAGTCAGGAAATTGGAGATCTCTGACAAAAACAAGGGTTTCATTGAACTACTTCAACAGCTTACTGTTTGCGATTCTGTCTCTGATGAAAGATTCCAAGAAAGATTTCAGGAGCTCGCTAAATATGGGGATGACCATCTTGTATGTGTAATAGAAGATGACAAATCAGGGAAGATTGTTGCCACTGGGAGTGTGTTCATCGAAAAGAAATTTATAAGGAATTGTGGCAAAGTTGGTCATATTGAAGATGTAGTGGTAGATTCCAGTATTCGAGGCAAGCAATTAGGGAAGAAGATAGTCGAGTTCCTCTCTGATCATGCTCGATTAACAGGGTGTTACAAGGTGATTCTTGATTGCGGTATTGATAACAGACCATTTTATGAGAAATGTGGTTTCAAGCAAAAGGAAGTTCAGATGGTGAAGTACTTCATTTGATTAACGTTCCAACTGTTCTCATGTTCTAAAACCTCTTTAAATACGTGATTTGCAATACGGTTTGGCTCTGTAGCACGAATACTTTAGCTACGGCAGCATGTCCGACATATGTTGGTGTCGGACAAGTGTCAAATATTGACACTCCTCGAAGGTCATTATTCTTTTTTATTTAAAATATTATATATTTTTAACTCAAATCAATTAATAAATAAAAAATATGTACTCATATTTAAAATATTTTAATAATAACAATTAATAACAAGTATAAAATTAAATATATACTATATAAATGAAGAATTTTAAAGAATTTAATCAGCGTGTCATGTTAATACATTTTTTATACGTGTCCTTATCGATGCATCATAATGGTTTGGGTTATACTCTCCCTCTCTATCTGATATGTTTGCTTTCTTTTCATTTTGTTTTTGATGTTGCTTGTGGCAATAAGATTCTTACTGAATTTAACCGGTCGGTTAAAGTTTGCACACATGGTGCAACATGGCAGATAGAATATAAAAATGGGGCATGAGGCAGTAATCAATGCACAAATGGGTCCAACTGACATTTCAAACGATCAAAAAATGGATTAAAAGACTAGAAATAAGGCATAAATCGACGTGTAAGCTTCTTCCCAGGAAAAAACCCTCCCTCCCAAAACAGCTGAAAACAAACAATTAACCCCGTAAGAGCGCGCACCATGATTAATCAGTTCACTAAGCCTTCGAGTAACCGAAACAATCAATAAAATATTAGTTTGTCTCACTTGAATTTCACTGATAATTTGAAGGTTACATAGAGAGTGACGAAGGAACAAAGGAAGGAAATCAAAGATGAGTTAATTTTGTCCAATCATGGTAATTGATTTGTAATTTGGTTGTCAGATATATACTCTTAACTAAGGAAAATTCTCTAGTGTACATAATTTGGGTACGTAATGATGTCCTTAATGTGATGTGGACAAAATCCCGTTGTTGATGTGAAAGTGTGAAATTTGAATTAAAGGTTGTATCCAGTGCTACGTATAATTATGGACACCATTATGTGTAACATTATGTATTTGTAGCACTTCTCCTTAACTAATGCTATCATTAAAAATTAATTATTGCTGGAGTTAAACACACACTAAGAAATGTAGCGATAAATTTAAAGTCAAATATTATTTAACTGTGAAGAAATCTCGTGCTAGTGTCCTTCGATCATCAACTTATATTAGATTCAAAAATTATGCACACAAGCACAACTCATTATGTTACAATGCTTTGAATGTGGCAGACCCTTCATGCCAAATGAGAGAATTCAGTTTCAGGAATTGAATTGAAACATTCTTCCTTGATGTAAAATAATATTTCCCTCTCAGCCCCAGCTGAAGCCATTCAAATCAAATTGCTCGCAACTTGAAGCTGGATCAATTTTGTCATCTATGTTTAGATCCAGTTCTGTTGTAAAGTAAGGTAGTTTTGTCTTCTGCTTCTCTGATCTATGAGCATCTCGGTCTAAATATTTAGCAGCTGCTTCAGCTTCTCTAAATCTTTCCTCTGAACGGCTACTGCTGCCATTCCATGGTCCTCTCTGAGGTCCAATTGCCATAGATAAAATTCTGTAGTTCTCTTCTGTAGCTAATGCTTTTTCTACATTGTCATTTGTTGTGCAAAGAAATCTGCTGCTTTCTTTCAGGTCTTCGCACAGTTTGAGTTCAGTCTTCTGCACCTTGAGTACATTGTCAGTATTCCTCGACTCTGTAGGTTCTCGAAAATTCAAAGTTTTCAATCCTATTTGGTTGTTGTACAATTCTTGGTCCCTGAGAGAACCTTCACTGGAGGTTAAGCAGCTCTCTGTTGAACAATCCGTTGGCTGAGTTGTTTTTATTTGCTGTAGGCATAAATCCGACACTTCTTTCATCCCTGAAAATTCAGAATTCAGGCACTGGGTGGATACTTTAGACACCAAATCAGATAACTGAACCTTGGCTGCCTCCAAATCAATTGTCCCCAGGTTCTGTGTTCCTAGGGTTTCCTCTGCTTTCTCCAGTACAGACTGTAGATATTTACCTTGGGCCTCAATTCGTAGCTGTAAATGGCGCTGTACCTACACATACAGAGCAAATCCTGTTTTCAATGCTGCATAAAATTCGACATTTAATTGTCGGAAATATGAATTTTGTCCTATTATTGTTTATTTGACAAGTTTCATTTCAATAAGAGATTAAATTTTCCATCGCAATCCTACATGTGTGAAATATTTGCCTCATGAAATTAATTTGGTTAAGATGCATGTTTTCATGGTAGATCTTCGAAAAATCTGACAACTTTTCTGGTTTCAGATTTCAGAGGGTTTTGAAGACGTCACACTTTACTTTGATTCATTAAATAAGAATATGTATCCCCCTTGTGTAGGTATCAAAGAACTTGCAATTGCTTTACGAATGGAAATTTTTTTTACCTCCAGCTGCTCATGTAGCCTTCTTTGCACTTCAATTTGCATTTGCAATGCTTCGCTCAAGTGTAAATTTCTGAATTTTAAGATATTACAGTACAGCAGTGTTAATTGATCATATTATCAAATCAATAATGTGAATCGACATAGAAAGAACATGTAATATAATTTTTCGTTCTTACTTATTTGTCTGGGCTACCATGCTTGGATTACTCATGTGAGTTCCATATGTCTCGGACATTCTTTCTCCTGTGACTGTAACCATTATCGAACTTAACAAACACAACAGGAGTTGTCTGTAAAACTATTTTCCTGGAAATTATTGGATTTCTTACCTGCTTTATTGCTCCCACTGTTAGCCTGTCCATGGAGGTTCTTGCTAAGCCTGTATTTCTGCCATGCAAATAAAAAGGTTTAGACTACAACTTCTCTTTATGTTTACCCATGATGCACATATGCATATGCACATGAATGGAGTACATACACCCACATATGCACAATGCAACACTCTTGGTTTTCTTAAAAATGTAATGACAATAAACTAAGCCTTATTCCAATAAATTTGAGGTGGCTACATAAATCCTTTATATGAAGTCCATTTGATTCATTGCTATGTGTGGAGCAACTAGATTTGGAGAAACTCCAACATGCAATGTTAGTTTTGGTCCACTCCTAACTTTTTCAACAGAGATCAAATCACTCTTATTAACGGGGAGTCAAGACATGTCGTAATCACCTAAATCGTCCTTCTCTTGTTTTATCCTAAACAGACGCGACCTTTACTTATAGGAGTATATTTTCATTTTTGTCTTATCCAGTATAGTATTGCCTCATATTATCTTAGCATTTTCATTTCTGCTGCATTCATCTCATGGACATCTTGTTTGTTAGCACCTGATACCCAGTACTAAACCAGATGTGACAGTTTCACGTGGGTTGTTAATCTACAACAACCTCTTTCCTTTATGTGGGCTTGGGACCTTCGTGAAAACCCTTGAAAATGCTAAGATAATATGATCTAGAAAATGCTATCTAAACTATGAATAAAAGTTTTTCATAGTTTATTGCCTTCTTTCTTAGATGATATTGTTTCAGAATTCTCAATGGTTTTCCTGGAGTCAAAAGTAGGGATGACGATGTTTTCAAAGAACTTGACTGCTTCTTTGAAATGGCTATATCAAAACCTTAATTTGCCATAGAGTGCATAAGCTTAAACATGGTCAAACTGAAAGGCCTATTTTCTCTCGTGCAGAACTCTACTATAGCTTTTTGTCACTAATAATTTACCTGAAGGTGACTCTTTAAGTGGTACAAGGTTAAACCTGGAATGCCCATAAGTTTCAGCACTGATTTTGGAGTAGCTTCTGCAACAAAGGAGTCATATTAATTAGCTACATACAGTAGCAGATTACTTCATTGGTGCTTCATGAACATGAAATGAGGCATGCACTTACTGTCTGCTCCACCTAGTTGATTAACTGCTTCCATGAAGCGCCGATGGAGGTCAGGAGTCCATTTTAGTCTTGGCTTAGCATCAGTGGAAAGTACGAGTCCCGAATCTCCAGTTCCATTTGCACCTTGAAGGAATAAGTGCCTTTCAGAAGGAATGGACATTCTTGATGTAGGATGCACGCTCTTTCCTTGGTGGTGAGAATGATACATCTGGTTGTCTTCAATAATATGATTTTGAAATAAGTGAGATTCGTGTTATGAGTGAAAGGAAACTATCTATGTGGAGCTATGCTGAAAGGATCTAATGTGCCTGTTCCAATCTGCTATCTCCCTTGAATGTGAAATACAATTTTGCTATATTCTGTGTACTGCAATCTTGCATTCCTGATACTTGTTGAAAGAAAACTATCTACTACTGCTTTTATCTATTTTTTGTTTCCTTTGACCAATTCTCATGTACTAAAGCTGTGCTCAGGGACGTCTTATAAGCAAATAAGGAGAGAGAGGTGGGGTACATGGGAAGCATAGAATCTTGAACAGGGCCAGCAGAACATCGGATCCAATTCAATCTTCATGCGACACGAAAAGAGAACTTGTCCTTCCAGTTTGACACTTATGTGGGGTCCTCTTATGCAACTTCCGTTTCCATTCTCACACAACAGCAGTAACCATTTAAAATTCCTCTGGACTTTGACTTGTTAAAAAAACTTGACACCTTAGGTTTGATACAAGCATAGATTCACTTTAGACTTTATTTCCTGTGTATTCATATCGATCACCAGGAAAAGTTTAGGAACCGTATTCTTTGAATTAATGGTGAAATTTTATTCTGATATGGATTGGAGGAATCCACTATCTATAATGTGCTGAAACCTTGAAACTCATTTGTTTCAAAGGATGATCCTGTTGACTGGTGCATTAATACACCACGCATACATGGAAAAACTGGGAAATTGGTGAACATATACTTCTCCTTGGGAGAGATTATAGACCAGATTTAGTTAATAAGTGCACTTCGTTTTTCATTTTTCCAAATTTTTATTTGGTTTATTTACAGCTTTGGTGTGTCATGATTAAGTGATGTCCAATGCTTTGATTGTCTTTTGCATTTGATCTATTGGTTGGCTTGTAACAAGAAGATATGCCAGCTATTTGAAGTGCATAGACTTGCTCCAATTTTTCCACTCATCTCTTTTCTCTTCTTTTCTTTTTCCCCTTCACATACACACAATAGACAAACAAAAGTGGTACCACTCCTTTTCAATACAGTGTGGAGATTCTTTCCGGCAATGAGAGAATTTATTCATGGAAAGAGGACACCTGCTGTGTGCTTCAGTTCTTTCTGAGGTATCTCAACTTCACACGCAGTGCATGGCTACACACACCTATCCTATCTTTGAGGCATGATAAGTACACTTGTGCATATTTTTGGGCAAAAGCTTAGCATTTATATTTTATTATAGCTTGTTAGAAAATATTTTGAGCAATGTTAAATAAATATCTAACATGTCAAATGACCCATAAAAAGGGGAAGAATTGTTACTCCTTAGCTTTGATTGAAGTCCTGGAGTGGCATACTTGCATAATGAATATATTCCATTTTGTTTCCTTCAAAAAGTTTAGAACTTATTCCACAAAGTATTAAAGAGAGGAGAGAGTCCCAATCAGATCTTTTAAATTCTTCAAATAGCATAAAGAAGTTGGTTCCCAATTCTTTGGGACCCTTCAAAAAGAAAATAAATGATCGTACTTGCTTCTGTGCTTTCATATGATAAAACACATGTCAAGTCAGAACCAGGAGACGACCACTTACTTTCCCCTTTACTTGACCTTAATTGGCCTTGGAGATACTTGGATGTGAATCTACTAATTTTTCTCACTCTGCATTTTCTAATATTTGGGGTTAATGGATTTTATTAACATGGGTATACATATGACCTACGTTGAGTTGCTTCTTAAATTATTGTCTTTATGAATAGAGGTCAATGAATTTTATTAACATGGATATGCATATGACATATGTTTAGTTGCTTCTTAATGTATTGTCGTTATGGATATGATGTCACTAGAATTACATTGCATTGCTTAAAATCAAGTTCTGAATGCTAATTTATCCCATTGGTCCTATTCTTTTGTGCGCATGCTTATTTTTACCTATTGTTAGAAACTTATGAAATATGCTTATCATGCACACATTAACTCCTATGTTGAATTCTTCATGTCATCTTTCATTGCACAGCCATGATAAATAAACCGAATCTATAACTATGTTGCACTATGTATCTTAATTTTGAGGCTTAAATTAAGAATTATGCTTCAATGCACGTATATAGTAAAAAACTCGACATGATCAACCACTAAAGGAGAGTAAATTCACCTCAACCAATATTCGTGTTTTCCAACTCATTACTAATCCTCTACGAAGGATGGATTTACCTGGTTAATGAAAGAGACAACTATTGACTTGTAATGTATAACAATTTTATATAAGATGACTCGAAAATATATAAGACTTGTCATTTCTGTCCTACATTATTTGTGATCTGTTGAAGGAAAATTCTTCTTCTCCCTTGAAAATGTCTGTGCATTAGTTCCATCAAGCTTTTGAGGAAAGATTATTTGATTCTGATATGTTCGGATATTTTATGCAGTTTGGAGGAATCTTT